AAAATTGGAAAAAAATAATGATATTCAAATTCCGATGATAGTAGGTACATACGATCAACCAACATTTATCAAATTTGAAAAAGAGTCAAAAGAAAATGTTTCAATCCTCTTATTTTTATTTCTCAAACCAAGAGGTCCGTGAATCAGGATCTTAGCACATAGATACAAATGGTACATGTGTAGCCTCTCTGCTCTACCTAACCATAAATATCAGCACTTCCTACCCCTTTCAGTCACAGCACATTTCAAGAAAGCTTGACGTTGCTGTTAGCCAAATAGTTATTTTTGTCTGTCATTGGCACAACCCAAGGCTAGCAACAGCTTGCTGACTGAGATCCATAATTTCTTATTGTATGCAGTCTCTCTTTGACAATCAGTTTTTTTTAATTCATAGACTGAAGATAAAGTAAATGTTTGGCATAGTGTTTTACATAACATTTGAGTCCAAACGCTTATCAGATTAGAATTGAGATTGTGATTTGGATATGATTTTAGCCCTTCAAACATGCAAACATATATATATATATATATATATATATATATATGTCTGTTTCATAGTGTATTGTTGTAAACTGAGAATCAAATAAAAAATTTGAATATTTAACACCTGCTCAGCATTATTGAGTGTAACTGTGATGCACCTGTGCCATTTAGGAGCTGATGTCGCTACAATACGCATGGGAAGCTCCATAGATAACTTTGATATAATCAATATCAGACCCCATTAGTTACTTGTTTTTGCATCTTCTAGGATGCCTTTAAAGAACAACATAATATGCATTCTAAAACAGAAGTACGTCAATTAGCCAATTAAGTCGTGATTATGCAGCCTTTACCAAATTCATTGCTATGGAATAAACGATGTCACATTCGATGTCATGAGGCTAGGCACGTAAGAGGCAAAACTTAAGACTGTAACATACCCCCCACCCCCAAAAAAAAAAGACAGTACATAACGTGCAAGTTTATCCAAAAGATATCAGACAATAGAGTTACCGTTGATAGAATGTATTCTTCAAACGATTCCCTGTACTTGTCATACAGTTGCTGGGAATAATCATGAGGAGGCTTTTGAGTGCACATATTGTAGATAGTCCTGCAACACGATTTAAGGAAATGCAGTGCCTAACGAAAATATGCGATCAACTCAAGCCAAAGTGATCAAACAAAAAAAATGTAAAAATAAAAATAAATTATAGACTAAAAACATGTGAACAATGAAACTGCTTAGCGACGGATACGTATATAACATCATATAGTCCTCGGAACTAAACTGAGGCTCGGCAACCTTCAAGAATATTCTTCAGCTTTGTGATGCCATTCTGCATAAAATCCCATCCTTGTTCTAGGTCGATCGTCTTGCGCTCACACATCGACATGTTGGCAAGCTTAATCCCAGGTATTAAAACTGCAATACACGAGAAATATTTACAAATTGAAGAAGTACATAAACTTTACCAAGAAAAGAATCAGAAAATAAAAACGAAACCATAGTAATCAGCATACAGGATAAATTTCACCCCCAAATACGCCCGCCCATGGAAGAACCACGGCCGAAAAATTCAATCTCAACCACACCACCGTTCAACCCCAACCTTCTTCTCATATAAAACCATCAACAAACAAATAATGTGAACCCATCACTCACAACAGGACTGGGAAATTCAAGCAGCAGATAACAACACAGATCAGAAGAGCGAGATCATGGAGAAGCTACAATAACAGCATACATACAGCAAGTAAATAACAACAAAACCCCCTTCCTTAACGAAGGAGAAAGCTCAATCGCAGATTTCTTCCCAATGAAACCCTAGCTATGGTCGGTAACGGAGGAGATGACCCAGGAGGAGGAAAAGAGGCTCAAATTCAGCAGCAAGCTGACGAAAATAAAGGATTCTGTTCTGCCTAGAACATTGTGTGCATTTATTTGGAGTTAATGCAGCTTATAACCAGATTCAGTGAAACCGATTCGAAGCGGGTGAAAATTGTTTCCTCCCTTAACTTCCCAGTTCTTGCATTCATTTATCTCTTTATTTTACTTTGAATAAAATCTCATTTCTCACTCCCAAAAAAACATAAAATCTCATTTTTTTGTAAATTTTATTCCCCCAATTATTATCGATACTTGAATATGGTTCATGACATTTTTTTTTCTCCTTTCATAATCTCATTTAGTATAAATAAAATTAAAACATTTATTTGAAATAATTTAAAATAATTCATCAACCCAAATTGTCGTGGCACTTATATTTTACTTAAATGGAGAAAAATTTTAATTTCATTAACTTTATATTACAAAAATTTAGTAGCGGGAAAATGACAAAAAAAAACTAAATGTCAATAAAAAAATTTTGTTATTTATAAATTTAGTGTTGTTAACACTAAATAAAATGTTGTTACCCAACCTGATTTGGGATTTAGTAATTTCTAATTTTTTTATCATTTTTTTAATTTTATTCTTATTTAACGGACATGTTACTTTTTTAAGAAATACTAATAGTTTACAAATGATAAATTAAGATAAAATTATACATTGTATATTTGTGCAATATTTGCTACTCAAAAATTATTAGTATGCTGCAAAACTACAAGAAATAAGAATACTAGAGAGTAGAAGAGAAAACAAGAAATAGAGAAGACAATGATCTTTTTCTTATTCACTTTGTTTCATGGTAAAAATACCTTATGCATGCCCTCTCTTTATAAGCCTCCAAACATTAAGTCCTATACTAAGATTACAAAGCAATAAAGAATATCATAATGGCATTAATAATGAGAAACTTCTCCCAAGTCATTCATTAGGAAGGTTATGTGGTTTATGACATTTGAAGGTAAAGAATCCTATGAGAATTCTAAGGGTTAGGGGTTATGGGCATCCACTCATGCAATATTTATAATACTCCCCATTGGAAGTCCATAACGAGTATTATGCCTTATTAAAACCTTACTAGGAAATACCCATTGGTACAAAAACCTAGTGCAGAAAAAAGAGTATACAATATTTACTCCTCCTAATGATAATATCATTTTAAATCTTTAAGTCAACACATTCCAATACCATACATTAACTTCTCAAATGTTCTAGTCAGCAGTGTCTTGGTAAACAAATCAGCAAAGTTGTCACATGAGCGAATTTGTTGAAAATCTATATCACCACTTTTCAAAAGATCGTGAGTGAAAAAGAACTTTGGAGAAATATGCTTTATTCTATCTCCTTTAATATATCCTCCTTTTATTTGAGCTATACATACTATACTATCTTCATATAATACTGTTGGAATCTTCTATTCAAGGGAAAAACCACACATTTTTTGAATATATTGAGTCACTGACCTCAGCCAAACATATTTTCGATTTGCCTCATAAATTACATTTATTTCCACATGATTTGATGAGGTAACTGATAAAGTTTGTTTTATTGAACGTCATGAGATCGTTGTACGTCCACAAATAAATAAATATCCTGTTTGAGACTTGCTTTTATGTGGATCTGATAGAAATCTTGCATCTGCATAGCCAAGTAATTGTGATTCTGATTCATTAAAGTAAAATAATCCCATATCAATTGTCCCTCGGAGATATCAAAATATATGCTTAATTTCATTCCAATGCCTTCTTATTGGGGAAGAATTAAATCTTGCCAATAAACTAACAGTAAATGCAATATCAGGTCGTGTTGAATTAGCAAGATATATTAATGTACCTATGGCACTAAGATATGATACTTCAGGACCAAGAAGTTATTATGCTTATCAAGTGATCTTACAATCATAGGAGTAGATAATGGATAGGCCTGATCTATATAAAATCGCTTTAGTACCTTTTTAGTATAAGTCGATTGATGGAGGAAAATTCAATTTGCTAAGTGCTCAATTTGCAAGCCGAGGCAAAACTTTGTTCTTCCAAAATCTTTCATTTCAAATTCTTTTTTTAGACAATCAACTGCTTTTTGAAGCTCTTTGGGAGTTTTAATTATATTTAAATAATCCATATAGACAATAATTATAGCAAACTCTTATCCATTTCTTTTTATAAAAACATATGGGCAAATTGGATCATTTTTATAGCCTTCTCTCAACAAATATTCACTAATTCGGTTATACCACATTCTTCCATATTGTTTTAATCTGTATAAGGATTTATGCAAACGAATTGCATAATTTTCTCGAGAATTCTTACATGTTTCTGGCAATTTAAATCCTTTAGAGATTTTCATATAAATCTCAGTATTTAAAGAACCATACAAATATGCCGTAACAACATCCATTAGACGCATTTCAAGTTTTCTATAGACTGCCAAACTAATTATATATCTTAAAGTAATTATAGCCACTACAGGAGAATATGTATCTTCATAATCAATACCAGGTCTTTGTAAAAACCCTTGTACTGCAAGCCGTGTTTTATATCTAATAATCTCATTTTTCTTGTTTCATTTGCGCACAAGACCCATCTGTACCCAACTGGTTTTACACCATTTGGTATGTGGACTATAGGTCCAAAAGCTTCACGTTTTGAAAGTAAATTTAACTCTGCTTGAATTGCATCTTTCCATTTTGGCCAATCATCTCTATGTCTACATTTTTCAACTGATGTAGGTTTAAGATCCTCATGTTGCTTAATTATTTCAACATCAACATTATATGAAAAAATGTTATCGATGACTGTATTCTCTCGGTTCCATCTTTTTTCCTGCGGCAACATAACTTATCGAGATCTCTTCATTATTTTCAGGTACCTGGGCCTCTTCTTAGGCCTTTTGATTAGTTATGTTTTGGTCCTCTCCTATAGGACTTGCCTCATCAATTTGACTATCATAACCATTATGAATATTTGCTCCTTTTTTCTTTCTAGGAGTTTTATCTTTGGAACTGAGTGGTCTGCCCACTTCAAGCATCATTTGGTTTCACTTGTGTTTTCTAATTGTCCTGCTAGGATATCAATTCTAATCAGAGCATTTTCAACTGAAATATCAGATTTAATAATTTTCTTAGGATGAGTAAGTGCATTTGTCAATTGATTTATAATGTTTTGCAAATGAATTATTCTTTGAACTTAAGTTCACATTGTTGTGTACGAGGATCTAGATGAAATAATGATAATGCTTTTTATGTGATTTCTTTATCCAGCTGCTTATTATCTCTCCCTAATATTGGAAAAATTGTCTCATCAAAATGATAATCATCAAAATGTGATGTAAACAAATCTCCTGTTAATAGTTCTGAATACTTAATTATAGAAGGAGATTCATAGCTAACATATATCCCTAACCTTCTTTGAGGTACCATCTTTGTGCGTTGTGGTGGAGTAATAGGGACAAATACCACACATCAAAAAATTTTAAGATGGGAAATATTTGCCTCTCGACCAAAAGTCAATTGTAACTAGAAGAATTCATGATAAATTGTTGGCCTTATACGTACAATTACTGCTGCATGTAAAATTGTATGTCCCCAAACTGAAATGGGAAGTTTTAATCTCAAAAGTATTGGTCTAGCAATCAATTGGAGGCGTTTAATAAGTGATTCTATTAGGCCATTTTGAGTGTGGACATAAGCAATAGATTTTTCTACTGTTATTCTAGTTGCCATGCAATAATTATTAAAAACTTGAAATGAAAACTCACTAGCATTATCAAGACGACTTGTCTTAATTGTATGGTCTGGAAACTATACTTTTAGTCGAATTATTTGAGCAAGTAATCTAGCAAGTGCTAAATTACATGTTGATAACAAACATATATGGGAACATCTTGTAAATGCATCTATTAAAACCATAAAATATTTGAATGGTCTGCATGATGGATGGACAGGTCTACATATATCTCCTTAGATACACTCTAGAAATACAGGAGATTCAACTTCTACTTTTGTCAATGAAGGCCTTATAATTTATTTTCCTTGAGAACAAATAGCACATGAAAAATCTTTAAATTGAATAATCTTCTGGCTCTTCAATGGGTATCCATATGAATTTTTAATAATTCTTCATATTATAGTTGATCTGGGATGACCCAACCGATCATGCCAAAAAATAAATGTATCTTTATCAATAAACTTCTAGTTTACTGTGGCATTTATTTATATTGTACTAATATTTGTATAGTACAACTCAGAAGATAATGTCGGTAATTTTTTCATGACACATTTTTCTCCATTTCTTACCATGGTAACATGTAGATATTCAATGTTTTTCTCATTTATAGTCTTAATATGATATTCATTTCGTGGATATCTTTAAAACTTAATAAATTCCTTTGAGACTTAAAGGAATATAAAGCATAA